ACCACTGAAATTTATACATTTATATCTTGGGTATTTTCCAATAACAAAATGGTTCCTTTTTTTTTATGGTTTTTAAGTTGTTATTTGGTACAATTCAATTTCCAAAATGAGGCACTTGCAGCAGAAAATGAGCAAGAAATAAAGTCATTAATATTAATTCAGCCCACTGAAGTAATTAAAAGTATATTTTTGGAGAAGAGTTTGATTTTTATGATTATTCTATTAGGAAAAGGTTCTAGGGGTTTAAAAGAGGTTTAGGGTTCCTTAAAAATGACCTCAGCCAGGGCAAGATTTCCTTCAGAACAGAACCAGCAGCTTTTTAGGCTCCTTCTCAACTCCTGCTCAGCAAAACTCCTGCTCCCTCTCTCCCCACCCCTCAGCATCCCACTCTTGGATATTTTATTTTTTTTCCCAAAAGTATTTGGGAAAACAACATATCCAACAGGGAATAATCACATTTAATGCCCATCTTAACTTTAGACTGAGGCTAAATCCTTGTAGCCTTTTCCTTTCACATCACTTGCAGGCACCTGGGCCATGAGTGAATTTTTCAGAGCTATGTAGGTTAAAACAATTCAATGAGGAAAAGCAGATAAAAGCAGTAAAAAGAAGAAAAAAAAACCCTAATTTTTTCAGCAGATGTACACAGCAGGTCAAATGGCCTAAGGGAAATATTTAATTTAGGACTCAGACTATTTCTACCAAGTTTCCTAACCAAAAGTATTTTTATCAGGAGCAGTACTCTTGATCTGGTTTCTGCTAATGATTTTCCCCATGGACTTTGCTCATAAAAACAGAAATTGCTTTATGAATCATAGATTCAGAGAAGTTGGAGAAGAAAATGATGGGTTAGGTCATCCTGCCCTTCTCCCTGACAGTGCAGCAGGATTTCTTTTCAGAAAAAAGTAAAAAAAAATCATTTTGAAAATAAGCAGTTATTCAGAAGTGGGGAATAAAAATGCTCAGTTCAAAAGAGGTTTTAAAAATCCATAATGAAGGCAGGGGAGGAAGAGCCAGGTTTTTAAGTACCTTGGCTCTCTTTACAAGCTGTGACAATTTGAGAAGTTTTGTCTGGGTAGGCACAGACAGGAATCCAAGGGGAGGGAAAGGAAAACGCGGAATTCCCACGGATGGGGATTTATCGCAATCTGAAGCCCAAATTTAGATTTGCTGCTGGACAAAGACCTGGAGATCCCAGCAGTCAGGACCTGATGAACCATGGGATGTGCAGGAACACAATGTCCACGGGCCTTTGTGCAGAGCACAGGCCCTGTGACGGTGTTATTGTCACCTGCTGTCACCTCCACACATCCCAGAGAGCCCAAAAGCCACAGAATCCCGGGAAGGCTGGAAGAGCCCTCCAGGATCACCCAGTCCTACCAGCATCACCCCAAACCCTGTCCCCAAGGGCCACATCCAGACTCCTCTGGGACAATTCCAGTGCCAGTGACTCCATCACTTCCCTGGACAGCTCATCCCAAGGCCTGACCACTCTGGCAAGGAAAAATTGTTCCTAATCCTTAATCTGAACTTCTCCTGACCCCTTGCACTTATTGGAATCCAGGCTGCCTGAGAACCGTCAAAACCATCAAGGAAATGAATCAAAATTTGTTGTTGGAGTTGGTTTTAGGAAATTAATCAAGAACTGTTGGAGTTGCTTTTAGGAAATTAATCAAAAACTGTTGTTGGAGTTGGTTTTGGACCTCAGCAGGTTTTTGTAGATCTCTGGGAGACAGCAGGATCTCATTTTGTTCCCGCTGCTTCCACAGATCTCTGGCGAATCGGGAGAAAACACATCTCGGCCTGTTTGGAATTCCTTCAGCTCAAGTGACCGAGTGAGTCATGGATCTGGGGGAATGTTCCCAAATTTCGATTACTGAGACTAAAACACTCGGATCCAGCAGATTTTTTTTTATTCCCATCCCATTCCAAGAAGGCTGATATCCTTCTAAACCCCTTCAGTCCACAGCAGGCCTGGTTTGCCAGGGATCACCCAGATCCAGGCCAATCCATGTCTCCAGCAAAGGAATTTAGGGAAAAGACTTCAGAGTGGTCGTGGCTGCGGCTGTGATTTGGAAATCTTGGTGAGAAATCAAATTTGAGGACTTTGAAGCCAAATTAAAAATATAATCAGCAAAATATTATCACTGGAAAAGCTGGGAGAGCTGGGCGTGTTCAGCCTGGAGAGGAGATGGCTCCAGGGAGAGCTCGGAGCCTTCCAGAGGCTCTAAAAAGGAAGGAGAAGGACTTTTTTATGCAGGCAGAGAGTGACAGGAAAAGGGGTTTTGAAGAGATGGCAGGGTTAGATGGGACATTGGGAATTAATTCCTCCCTTAGGGGGTGCTGAGGCCTCGGGAGAGGTTGCCCAGAGCAGCTGGGGCTGCCCCTGGATCCCTGGCTGTGCCCAAGGCCAGGCTGGACATTGGGAGCTCCTGGGACAGTGGGAGGTGTCTGGGGGTGAATCATCTTCAATCCCTTCCACCCCCAAACCATTCCATGATCCCACAATCCCTTCTGTGCTGTGTCACGAATGACTCAGCAATAAAACAAGCTGTGAATTCCTGCTGGGTTGGGGGGAGTCCAACCTTGAGGTGCCCAAAACCTCCCTCGCTGTGCAGCTGATTTGCCTAAAACAAGGGATATGAATTCCAGGGAATCCTTTGCATGCATTTGGGTCGGGCAGATACGTGTGCTGCTCCCCTATGGATCATATCTCCACTTCCTTCTCAAAATGCAGAATCTCATTAAATATTAACTCCTCTACCAACTGAAGAATTGATTTCCAACAGAAGGTTTGCCTGCAGGAGGATTTTGTTTCAAGCAGATGCATATTCAAAGAACTAAAGTTTATTCATTGTCTGCAAACCGTGAGCATGCCCAGGTAATTGCATATGCAAATCTGGAATTTGCATATGCAAATATCTTTTTTATGCACACAGCTGCCTGCTTCACTGAGGGTATTTTTCAGAGACAATTCAACCACAATTTAAATAAAACAACCCAAACAAAAAACCAAAGAAATAAGAGTAAATAAATAAGGAGCTTTATGCTGACGGAGTATTTGTTTTAAGGCCTGTCCTTGAATCCAAAAAAATATGTCAGTTTTTCCCTCTAAAAACATGGATCGTGATGCAACTCAGGTAAATGAAGGCTCCAGAAGAAAACCTGAGTTTTCTAAGCTATTTTAGCTGAAGTTTGAAACATTTTTTTCCTGGTTAAGCAGCCCCAAGCTGTGAGTCTCATTCCCTGGAGGGTGTTTGAGTCCTGCTGCTCTGTTCTCCCGGGACAATTCCACTTAAGCAACATCCAGAACTTCTGCCAAGAGTGTGGGAGGGGTGCAGAGAGCTTATCCCAAACCTCAATTTACATTTTGATAACAATATGCAAATGCCCCACTGGGGTAGTGACTGAGGCCAAGCTCTGGGATCCCAGCACAGGGAGCAGCTGGAGCTGCTGGAGAGAGCCCAGAGGAGGCTCCAGGATGAGCAGAGGGATGGAGCAGCTCTGCTGGCAGGAAAGGCTGGCCCAGCTGCCATTGTTCAGCCTGGCCAGGAGAAGCTTTGGGCTGAGCTCAGGGTGGCCTTGCAGGGCCTGAAGGAGCCCCAGGAAAGCTGGAGAGAGACAATTGCCAAGGGCTGCAGGGCCAGGAGCCAGGGAATGGCTGCCAGTGGCAGAGGGCAGGGCTGGATCTTGGGATCTTGGGCAGGAATTGTTCCCTGGCAGGGTGGGCAGGGGCTGGGATGGAATTGCCAGAGCAGCTGGGGCTGCCCCTGGATCCCTGGCAGTGCCCAAGGCCAGGCTGGACATTGGGAGCTCCTGGGACAGTGGGAGGTGTCTGGGGGTGGAATGAAATGATCTTTAAGATCCCTTCCTTCCCAAAGCATTCCCTGATTCTGTGATCTCTCCTCGCACATCTGCTCCACCCTCACTCCATTTCACCCAGACAGAACCATCTGCCTTCAGCACCCGAGGAAAACAACCCCTGTGTGCAAGGCTTGGGCATTCCTTGGGAATATCAAATCCTTCAGCTCCGACTTGTGCTTTATTCTTTTAAAAAAGGGAAGAAAAAAAGAGAGAGAGAAAGAGAGAAAGAAAGAGAGAGAGAGAGAGAGAGGG